TTAGTGAGAGAAGTTATTATTTTCCTTAAATATTTTATATTCAATTTTTCTATAAAACTTATTATATAAAAATGTAAATAGTCTACAACCACAATTTTTTGGTATGGAACTTAAATTTTATATGTAGAATGGCATTAAATCACTCAAGTTAGTAATCTAAGACTAAGTTCTAATAAGTCCACCGAGTAATGTATAGAGAAGAGATATTTGAGCAGATATGGAGTTTTGGCATTCATTGCTAGTTCTGTACACTAATGGTATACAAGAGTATTGAAATGGACATTCAATTTTAGTATCCTATTAACAGGATCTTTGTTATCCTATAACAGTTCTTGGTCTGTAGTTAGAAATTGTTCCCATGTATATCTTATACTTTCACCAGAACTTCATTTTTTTTACTACTCGATATAGTCTTAACTATGCTTGTCTGGTAATAATCTTTTCCTTCTAAGAAAGTCCTTTCTGTCACACTGTTTTGATCGATCTGTGAGAGTTAATCTGTTCTGTCTACAATGAGAAACACCTGTACCTAATCTTTAAATATGTTCCACATGCTGACTACAATCCAAGTGGATTTCATCCCTGAACATTAAATAGATCCATACTATCCACTTGTTTTACTACTTGTTCAAAAGCTTGGTTTAAACTATTCCAAAATATGGTATGAACTCTATTTATATAACTAACATATGGATAGATAACTAACTATATGGTTACTTATCTGTACTACTTCCTTAAGACCTCAGTAAATATTGAAAACAGAAAGTACAGTTTTTAACTAACACCTGGATTAATAAGCATGCATCAGTACTCCTTATCAGTACTCAGAATTTATTTAAATATCTTAACTGTAAATAGTATGACTCAATAAAAAAGAGTAATTCCCGATTTCTGTAGCCAGATTTTTTTTTAATTCAAATATTTTTTTTAATATCAATGACCTTCCGTTCTCTATCCTGCACTGTCAGTACCATGTGTATGCTGATGATGACCAAATTTACCTCTCTTTCGATCCAGCTGATTCCACTGGTGCAATCCCAAAACTTCAGAAAGATAAAGACTTGCTGGGACAAACCGCAACAGGCTCCCTCTAAACGCCAAGAAGACTAAAGCTATCCTAATTGGATCCTCCTAACTCATCTAATCCAATTCTGAACATCCTAATCTTCTCCTAAACAACTCAACTATCTTGTTCCATACTTCCATTAAAAACCCTGGTGTTTTTCAATAAAAACCTCTCCTGGAAACCACACATCTCCCAAATTTCCCGTTGTACTATTTCTACTCTCAAATATTTCAACTGTCAACGCTATCTCCTTCCATACAAAACCCATCAACTCCTTGTTTCCTCTCTTGTTTTCCCCTATTTCGAATATGGTTGTAGTGTACGGGGGACTCTTGGGAGAACTCAAAGCCAAACTTAAACGTCTAATGAAGCGCTTAATACATTTGTCTTTGGGATTTCAAGAGATAGGCATATTACCCAGTATTACACAGAGTTGAAGTGGCTCTATCCATCCTATCGCTGTTAGTACTTTCTTGCTACCTTTCTACACTAGGACCCTCCTATATTCGTCAGAGCCTACAATTCAAATCCTCCATTCAAGTCCCACCAGATTCCGCACTTCCGACCTCTATTCTCCTCCTCACCGAACTGCTGCATTTGACAAATCCTTTGTAATTCAAGCCGTCTCCTTTTGGAATTCTATTCCTCCCGGTTCCAACGTGCACAATCAGTTTCCTCATTTAAGTCTCTCCTTTTTAAGCACCTACTCCGTTCCCAAGCCAACTGATCACAAAATGTACATAAGAGAACCTCTTAAGTTCTCCCAGAAACTGTTTTGTTTACTTATGTTATTTTATTTTCCTATGTTTATTTTATATATATCTGTATGATTTTTTATTTTTCCCTTCTATATTTTGATTTTAATTAGATTATTTTGTAAATATTTAATTTAATATATATGGCCATACAGACATTTTCTATGTATTTATAATTTGTTCTAAATGGGCAACGGTCCCAGGATAATAAAATATTTTCATTTCATAATAAAAACTCCAACTATTTTTTTTTTTTTTTTTTTTTGGTTTTTTGTTTGGTCCATCGACCATCCAATCAAACTTGAAAGTCTTGCATGTGATCTTATTAAATAAAATCCAAAATTAAAAAAAAGAAAAAAAAAAAAAAAAAAAGAAAGACATATATGACAGAAAATGTTATTAATCTAGAGTTTAATGGCTTTATACAAGACAGGACAGTCCAATTTTCTAACAATTTGAGGTTTTATAATAGTCCCAATTATGGAAAGAATGACAAGCTGGGGAACATCAGGAGAATGGGAAGAGATTATACAGTTTTCAGCGGCCAGGATATCAGTTTTATATTATTTTTGTTAATTTTATAATATTAAACTTTAACAATACCGAATAATTTTGAGAACTGCTTAGCAAAGTTTGCATTGTTGATCAGTTATTAGAATTCAACAACAAGTTGGATAAGTTTTATAGCTTTTTGAAAAGGAGCTGCTTGATTGTGTACAAACTGCTGCCACAAAACATTAAGTCTTGAAAAAATGTCTTATTAATGGTCATAAAGTAGACGTTAAATACACCATAAAATTATCCCCTCCCAAAAATAGGCTGTTATAAATAAATTCTCTACCTTATTTCAGCTGAATACTATGTCATCTAATTAACATTTGCACCATGGAGGGTCGTGGAGTTCAGTACAGTTTCGTAGTCAACGGTTGTATAAGGTGATGATTTGACTGAGATCACGCTTAACTACCAGGTTTTTCCCTTTAATTAATTATTTAAATTAAAAGTGCCCACATTATAGAGGTTGGGTGTGGCCAGAGGGCCTCCCGATCCGAGGGTCACCCCGCGGCAGATGAAACAGAATAAATAATTTTTCTATTGGAAGCACAGCGCCTTGCCACTGAGCACAGATTCCACTCCCTCATAATGAATACAAAAAGAGAAAATTTAATCATTTAAAAAAAAAATCTGACTCTCTCTCCCCATTACCTCATGCACATTCACTGCTACATAAATTAAATCTTTTTTTTTTGCGCCTATTGATATTATTGATATTGATAATATTCACCTATTGATAATAGGTCTGGGGATCATAATGATGATAGAGTTAAAAAATTGGTAATGATTGGTTCAGTAGTTTTCATTATCAGTTCTAAAGTAAAATGGGCTCTCATATAAAGACCTAAGTAACAATTTATTTCATTATGCTGTTTCTGTTTCTGTTTTATTTTTCATTCTGATTGTTCTCCTTTGGCTATATTTGTGCAATGATCAATATTTTGTGGATTCGATGGCATTTTCAACAACAGCTAATGCTTTTTCAATTGCAATGCAGGAATAACAATGTAAAGATTAAAGATTATTAAGTATACCTAGTCATAAAATTCTGTAAACATGGTTGAAAATATGTTATACTTGTTTTTCTACAGGGCAGATTGAAGAATTTCAATGGCTTAAAACCTTCACAGTACAACACAGACCATTTGGGAAAAAAAGTGTAAATCCATCCATTAGTTTTTGCTGTTAACAGTTACAAATGAAAGATGGATCCTTTATATAATAGTATGCTTAATGTATTTCAATGAATTCTTAAAATATACTAAAGAAAACACATATCTTTGTTTGAATGAGATTTATTTTATTGGAAAAAATAAATAAAATTTGATGAATAACCACTATCTTAAAAATGATAATATCATTAAAAATTTATTTAAATACTTAAAAAAAAAAAGAACCAATTCATGCAGTGTCCAAGCCTACACAACACCATTGGCTAAAAAGCTATATCACAGATCACAGACCTCTATGCTTCATAAACCCTATTTAAAACCAAGAACATTTGACTCCTGAACTAATTTCAATTTACACTGTCTTAACACGAATAGAACTAATTCACAACCATCTACATTCAAAGTTTAAATTATCATTACTTTGAATTTAAAAACTCAGCATTATAAACAAACAAATCAAGATTGTAATATGTCCTAAAACGGCTAACATATATAAAATAGAATCAAGGTCACAGAAAAATTTAATTGAAGTAAGCCTGTGTAGCAAATGACATTAATAAAGTTCACTTTTCAAAATACTAAAATGAGGTAACATAAATAACCAAGCAGGGGTAAATACCTAATCAACAAATTGATTAGAACGCTCTGTAAGCATATATTAGCAAATATTTTGGAAATATACTTATCGTTGGAACAAATAAACTAATACAATTATAAACAGTATCTATTAAACTTATATGTTTTAATTTAACTTATTCATAATAACAGAGAAACAAATAACTTCAAATACATAAAAATTAAACAAGTTTCAATATAAAAAAACATATTTTCAGGGAATATAAGAGTAAAGGAATTTGTGTTTAATTATTCATTTTGTAAGGCAGCTGAATTACTTAAAATACTCATAAAAATATATCAAAAACATAGCAAAATAAAATCCTTTAAATGAGATCCAATGAATAGCATTAATAGAAATCAATATACTCTAAATTCTTCCATCATAAATAAATCAACCACGATAATCATAAAACACTTAAATTTTTTGTAACAAATATCAACTAGCATTCAAATATCATCATTGTGAAGAATCAAATTGATAACAAACTAAAGAAAGTTTTAAAAAATTATGAATACAATTTTATCACTGTTCAACATCAAACATTATAAGCAATAGTGTTTATCAATTCATTTAGGACCACAAAATCATAAGTCTCAAAATTTCATTTTAATATTCATATAGATCAATTAATTCCCAAATTTACTGATATTACTATATACCACTGTGGACAACTTAATAATCATGAATATTATAACACATAGCAGCAAAAAAAAGTAAATCTAGATAAATAATTTGCTATCCTTGCCTTATGGCCTTCAAGTTGGTAAACAAGCTTGTTATAAACATGACCCTACCCACTCCTCAAATGATCTTACTCAACAAAAATTACTTACGTTTTTGGTAACTTAAATGAAGGAGCTCCTTTACGCTGAAAAACGCCATCCACGAAAACACCATTTTTACCATTACACACCATAAAAAAATGTGGATGTTCAAAATACAATTCTAAATGTCTACGGGAAATAAAACTAGAATGTCCCATATTCACATCAACTTCACCACGTGAACTATTTCTTCCAATTATAATTCTCTTCTGCCTCACCATGTACTCAAACTCTCGTCCTTCTAATTTAGCAATAACAGTACCTTTATTTTCTGGACTCCATTGAATTTTTGATGGACTAGCAGGAGTTGATTTCAGGGCTAGTAAGGCCCAGGCATCACTCTCCTGTGACCGTGACATAGACATCACGAGCAAGCTAAACTAGGAGCTTAGAACTACGTTCCTCCTCAAAAAACAGGGTTAAGGAGGAACTTATGATTTGTTTACCCACAAATCCGAAACGTGGGTGGTCGAGAAAAGAAACCACGTGACAATCGAGCTGCGCGATTGTGTCAAAACAAAACACTGACTACAGAGAGAGCGTGCTAGCCTGCTCTACTGTTTACTCATCCCTCCACCAATCCAATTACACTCCCAAAAGCGCAAAAACCGGCTTTATTCAAATTTAAAACATACATAAGTTCAACTAATACAATAAATAATCACTGGTCATGACAACATATCATAGGATAACGATCTTTACGAGGAAACTTGTACCTATGTTGTTTTATTTATATTCTATTTTGCTAGATCGACTTTTCAAAAAGTCAATTGTTAATATTTATTTTTTGTATCTCTAGAAATATATCAACTATTTTCATAACTGATAAGAATTTCTTATATGATATATAAGTGAAAAGGATGAATATTCATTTTTATTTAGAGGATTAAAACTATGTACTTAAAATATATCTTAATTTAATTTGACTAGGTGAAATAGCTATTACATAATAGTGAAAAATGAAATTACATAATTTCAAATAAAAAAAACTGGTGCGATGCGCATATAACGAAACTTTCTCTTACCCCCCTAATTTGAGTAAAAATAAGTCTTTTCATCGTTTGATGTCTTAGGCTCAAAAAATCTAAGTCGTCACCCGCGCTAGGTCATCGCATCCGATTAATAAAAAATCTGGTGCGTACAACACACAACTTTCACTTACCGCTCTACTTTGAATAGAAATTAGTTTCTTGCAATGTTGGCTATTATAAAATGTTTGAAGTGCTTTTTTAAAGCTTATAGCTAACAAATAATTAACACCATTAAAAAAAAAAAAAACCTATAAATTATATACGATAGGCAATAAAAACCTTGTTATTCCATCTGTTTTGTAAACCACACAACTCCAGTATATGAGTAATATATATACTGTATTTTCAATCTATAAATTATTATAAATGGAATTATTATAATTATAATGGACTGTACGACTATTAGTTATTAAACTGTTATTTTCCATTGTAAAGTTTACTAAAATGAAATTACGAGACTTTCGTTGCCTGCTACAGGTAGGTCAAAAGTTGTCACTCTAATTTTAAGTGGATAATGTTGAGACATCACATAAGGAAAACTCATCAAATTATTTACTAATTTAATACTCTAAAATGTTACATGAAGATTTTCGGAATAAACGGACGTTGATACCTAATTATTTAAATATACACTGACAGGCAAAAAATTCCACCCACTTGTAAAAAAAGTTGTATTTGTATATAATACATGGTATTTGTAGATAATACTTGGTATTTATGGAATTTCATAATCTTTTTTACCTTTAATAATCAAAATGTGATTGGATAAGAAAGATTAGAGAAAAAAAATTGAAAAACGAACCATTATTATTCTAAAAGAAATTAATTACATCATCGTTTAGTAGCGCGTGTTTCCCCCTCTTGCCTTCTCTACATCTTGAAGACGCCTCGGCATACTTTTCACCTGTCGGGAAATGTCCCTTTGCTGGAGATAGCCCATTCCTCCCGAAGAGCCCTTTCAAGGTCCTGCAGTGTATCAGGAAATGTTGCACGCGCTCTTATTCGTCTTCCGATGTTATCCCATAAATGCTCAATGGGGTTAAAATCTGGAGAACGTGCTGGCCAAGCTAAAACCTCAATATTGTTCTGTTGAAGGAACGTCTGCACTATGCGGGCGACATGTGGGCGTGCATTATCGTGCATTATCGTGCATTAGAATAGAACGACCGCTGATTTCGTTGAGGATAGGCAACACATGAGGTTACAAAATCTCATCTACATATCGAATGGCCGTCAAAGACCCTCCACGAACAACAACCAATTCTGTGCGGCGTTCCATTGAAATCCCAGCCCACACCATTGAGGAACCACGTTGGAAAGGTTGGCTCTGGAAATAATTACATGCTGCATATCTTTCGTTTCTTCTTCTTCACACCCTTTCACGCCCGTCTGGAGATCGAAGAGTGAATCTTGACTCATCTGTAAAAAGTACAGCACTTCATTCGACCATAGTCCAATGGCTGTGTTCTCGAGCAAAAGCCAGCCGTGTTACCCTGTGAGTTCTGGTAAACTCTGGTCCTCTTACTGGACGAAAAGCTATTAATCCATACACATTTAATCTTCTCCGAGCGGTACGTTCAGAAATTTGCACACCTCGAACTTCTTCGAGCTGATGAATCACTTGAACAACGGTAAGGTGCCGGTTTCGTAAAATTCTCAAAGTCAAAAACCGGTCATCCCGTGGTTCAGTTACCCTAGGGCGTCCAGAACCGGGCCTTCTATTGTAAGAACCAGTTTCCAAAAAACGCCGACGGCGTCTCGTAACGTTTTATATGGAACTCCGATGGCATTAGCATGACATATCTAATGGAACGTCCATCATCAATAAGTGCCACACCACGCGCAACATCCTCAGCACTAAGAGGCATTTTAAAACTTAATATTGAAAAAATTAAAAGCCGGAGACTAAGAAATGTGCTGCAAGAAACAGCACTTAACTAATGATACTGAATAAACATTTTGATTCCATAGAAAGTAAACATTGGAATCTAGAATCATTTCATTGAATTAAGGGTTATTGTCCTCTATATTAACATTCCTAATTGAAAACAAACAAAAAGATTACCTATTTATTGATTAAAAACAATAGACCGATCCAAAGCAGAAATATTTTTAGATGAAAACATCAAGTGGGTGAAATTTTTGCCTGTCAGTGTAATTACTAAACTCAGCGCCGGCTTTAGATATTCCGCGCCCTCGGGCAGTAACACCCTTTCCATCACCACTCCCTCCCACAGCATAAATTAAATTTATTTCTAAAGCTGTTTTATATTACGTGATACACTTCTAATTCTATTTCTCTAATACAGTTGCTTTATTAATATACTAAAAGTAATTATTTTAATATGCTCTGTATTTTTTTTGCGTCCCTGGAGATCCACCGGCGTACTCGACGAGCGCCCACTCCTTCGGCTCCCCGGAGCAATTGCCCAGGTTTCCCCGCCCTGAGGCCGTCACTGACTACAGTGAATGTATTTAAGGTTATAAACATACGGTTAAGACGTTCATGAAATATCTTTATATTTCACTTCTTTCACACAAGTGCAATGAAGGTATATACAAAGAGTCCGGGAGCTGAGGCCGAAAAGGTGATCTGGTTTGAAGAAAGTTTTTGAGTGTGGATTTCGAAAGTACTCTCACTGTAGACAAGCAAATTTGGACGTTTGCCACCCTAGATAGGATTCAATAAAATTTTATGGGTCATCAAAGTCGTCAAATTTTTTTAAAAAGCGACATATTTGAAGACGGATGGAATCTTTTCCAAACAAAACAGACCACCCCAAACTAAAAAACGACGTCTGCCGGCCGGAAGTGGATGCATTCGTCTGGCAGACGCGCGTCCAAAACCAACTTTTTTGCATCAAATCATGACTTGAATGAAGACGGTTGGAACCTTTTCTAAACTAAACTAGTCCACTCAGGGATCAAATAAAAAAGTAGTCTGCCAACCGGAAACGGATGCGTTCTGTCGCCAGAGACGCCCCAAAACCAGCTTTTTTGGCTTAAAAACTTTAAGATGATTAAAATCTTTTCTAATCAAAACTAGAGATCTAAATCACCATGAGTTCTAAAAAACATAGTCTGCCGAACGGAAGTGGTTGTATTCGTACGGCAGACGCGAGTCAAAAACCAACTTTTTTGCATCAAAACTTGACTTATTTGAAGTTGGTTGATACCTTTTTTAAACAAAACTAGTTCACTCAGTGACCAAAAAAAATTTTCAAACCGGATGTGGGCGGGTTTGACCAGCAGGCGTAGTAAGTCAAAAACGAACTCTTTCGTTCATAATTTTACTAATTTGATGATGGATGAAACCTTTTTTAAATAATTCTAGCATTCCCATAGAAAAAAAAATCTGACAATCGGCTGCCAGTGTTCTACGTCTAACGGCGAAATGCGACCACTTCCGGTTAGCAATTTTTTTTATGGTCTTTGGGTGGTCTAGTTTTATTCAGGAGAGGTTTAAACTATTTTTGAATAAGTCATGTTTTGAAATAAAAAAGTTTGCCGCTGACAACTTCGGTGTTGAATCACTTCTGCCAACGGAACGCATTCACTTCCGGTTGAGAGACTACGTTTTTTTTGGCCACTGAGTGGATTAGTATAGTTTAGAAAAGGTTCCAACCAGAGTCTCTGATCTAGAGATGGGCAGTTCTTTTTTTTTAACTAAATCGCTTCCAAACGATTCACTCATTGTAGTGAATCGATTCTTATAAACGATTCTTTTTTTTTAAACTAAAAATAACCTTTAATTAAGAAAAAAAACTAACTTCCAATTTCAATACCATTAATGGTCCAAAAATAAATATTAACTCTTATTCAAATTGTATTAAAGCAATTCATTTTGTCAAAAATAGATTTAAAAAAAAAAAAAATAGTGAATTAGATAAACTGGTATACTTGACTGAAAATCTGGAATTTCATTCAAGTATATCGTTAAACTTATAATATAAAATCTTAAATCTAATGATATAAACACACACGGTATTTTACATAATTATTTATACATTTTAAATAAAATCAATGTTTTGATTGATATGCACTTACATGCAAAAAATTCCACCCACTTGATGTTTTCATCTAAAAATATTTCTGCTTTGGATCGGTCTATTGTTTTTAATCAATAAATAGGTAATCTTTTTGTTTGTTTTCAATTAGGAATGTTAATATAGAGGACAATAACCCTTAATTCAATGAAATGATTCTAGATTCCAATGTTTACTTTCTATGGAATCAAAATGTTTATTCAGTATCATTAGTTCAGTGCTGTTTCTTGTAGCACATTTCTTAGTCTCCGGCTTTTAATTTTTTCAAATTAAGTTTAAAAATGCCTCTTAGTGCTGAGGATGTTGCGCGTGGTGTGGCACTTATTGATGATGGACGTTCCATTAGATTTGGAGCTAATGCCATCGGAGTTCCATATGAAAGGTTACGAGACAGTTTTCGGGAAACTGGTTCTTACAATTGAAGGCCCGGTTCTGGACGGCCTAGGGTAACAGAACCATGTAACAACCAC